CACACACACACACACACACACACACACACACACACCGCTTAACAACAACAGATGATGGATCGTTCGTTGAGAGAGAGAGAGACCTCCCCCCCTTCGGCTCCCACTGCCTACCCGCCTCTCCGCTGCGCCCCATTTCCGTCCCGATCCCGATCCCGGTATCTACCACCCCCCCTGTTCCGCTCCCGCTGCCTCCCTCCCTCCTCAACTGCACCCCGAATCCCCCGCCCCCCAATTGCGGTTTTCCGATCCCGATTTCTATCCCCCCTGCCTCCGCAACTGCGCTCCGTTTTCCTATCCCGATTGTGATCGTCCCTCCCTCCCCAACTGCACCCCATTTCCTTCGCGATTCCGCTCCCGCTCCCGCTATCTACGCCTCCCGATCCCGACCCCCTCTCTCCCCAACTGCACCTCTCTCTACCCCGCGGGCATCAGCCGCCTCGCGCTGCTCGTCCTGCGCATGGTTTCGAACTGCGCCCAACCGACATCCGCCAATTGCCTGCCCCGTTCGGCCTCCACACCGTTCTGCACCGTTTCGCCGCTGCCCGCTCCCTGCCTTTCCTGCAGCCTGCCCCGTTCGACCTCCGCACCGTTTCGCCGCCGCCCGCCTTTCCTACAGCCTGCGCCGTTCGACCTCCGCACCGTTTCGCCGCCGCCCGCCTTTCCTACATTCTGCCCCGTTCGATCTACGCACCGGTTCGCCGCCCGCTCCCCGCAGGGGCCTGGGCCTGGTTTGGCCTTTCCTAACACTGTCCCCGGGGGCTCGCGTGGGCTCGCGTGGGACACTCACGCGAGACCCTCTATTTCCTTTAGAGTATTAGAGATAAAAATTGACAGCCTCTAAAAACACACACAAAAAAAAGAAAAGAAGTTAAAAAAACAGGCAACCGTCCGTCGAAAATCTCGGTGTATCTGTTTTAAACAAGTATGTTGTGAATAGCCAGACTCACCAGAGTTGGAACATTTCCGGAAGTGTGGTCCCCACACTGTTTCTAGAATAGTGCGCATTACCTCAACACTTCATGTCCAGCAATTTCAGAGGAGATGTCGGAATTACTGCCAGAAAGATTAACAGCCAAACAAGGGTACCTGTTGCGGCTTCGCTCGCAAGGGATTGAGGGGGAAGTGGGAGAAATAAGTCGGGGTGGTGGGTTCGGTGGGTTTTGGGGTGGTGGTCGGGGGTGTTTTTAGACTCATGGTCCCGTGGGGGGTTGTGCCCTAACAGCTATGGCAATGTGTGTGCAGCACCTCCTGCTAGTTGGGGAGGTTCTGCAACAGTTGGCTTCGGAAATCGGCATGCTATGTCTACCCCTACTGTCTTCCCCCGACTCTAGACTGAAATCCAGCGGCGTACCTTGGTTGATATGGCACGCAAGTGGCATTCATGAGGTCTTGGGTTCAATCCCCGTTGGCCTCATTTACCTTCCTGGGCAAGCTTGGCGCCAGGCACATAGAGAAAGACAGGAGGGGAGGCACGTCCTTTTTTCCCCGAGCTGTGGAAGTGTGGCGGAGGAGCGGGGAGAGTGAAGAAGCGGGGGAAGAGGGCGGAGGAGGGCGGCAGGAGCAGAGAAGTCGTGGGGGATGAGCCGGGTAGTTAGTTTGGGGTCTCTCTCTCTCTCTCTCTCTCTCTCTCTCTCTCTCTCTCTCTCTCTC